TGCAACGACACGCTGCTAAGTGTGTTAATCTCGTTTGTCAATAAGCAGCACAACTAAGAGATAACATGTAATAGAAAGAGAGAGGCCATAGAAGGCCGAACCAAAATTGGATGGTCCAAGCAGGGCCGCTGAAGAGGGTGAAGTTGTAAAGTGGACCGCCTCCTGTATTCGTGCATGTGATACTAGACTGATCCCTTATCTCCTATTCTGTTATTTATTATCTATCACAGCTGCATAAATGACCATTTTCTAATTTGATAAAATCGCTTATCACCAAAACTGTTCTCATTTTATTAGGATGTCTTCACCCTTTGCGCAGCTATGTCAAGTCTTTCGATCCTGGACTGCACAAACTACATTTGATGGAAATAACTGTGCACCACTATTTCGCGTTCTGAACAAAAACTGGAGCAAATTCAAGTCTTCTTCTTTCGAGAGTCTCGGTGCATGACTTGTGATCCACAGCGCCCTGCAGTTGCCTTCATCATTCAAAAGGGATCCATTCGTAAACAAAACATGCAATGAAAACGAGCCGTACTTTGATTTCGTCCAACGCCGCTTCTGTGTAATGCTCCGCTGACTTGACAATTTTCATAGCAACAAAACGCGTCTGCACCGTATCCCAGCAGAGCCAAACGGTGGAGAAGTGGCCCCAGCCCATCTTGCGGATTACGTGATAGCTGCAACAGTACATGTACGAAAAAAGAAAATGGCCTTGAAGATTGAAAAATCTCTATTTGCCATCAGGCTAGCAGCAAGAAAAAAGGTGTCAAACTCAGGATGCAATGGCATCCACCAGTTGAAATTGCTCAAATCCCTCATCACGCTCATGTTCAATAAAAATCGGAGGCATTCAAAAACCTCTTTTGCTAGCTAGTGCGACTCAAAACAGCTCAGCAATCGAATGCTTTGCTGTCCCCCTCTGAAAGCCTTAACAGTATTAAATTCTGGTACACCTCCTCCCCTGAAGATGCTGATGAGGATGGCTAAAAATAGAGAGTTGGGCGTTTGTAAAATGAGGAAAGATACATGGATCGAGAAAAACTCTGGTGTATCTTACAATCTAAATCTTAAAAATGCTGCAGAAGCACGAAACTGAATGTCAGCATGCCGATCACCGGATAATTTCCCCAGTCATAACAGCCAGGGAAAGGTGACAGAAGGCGGCAATAACGCACATATGCGTTGCGCAGAATATCCAGTAAAACGGACTTAATCTCAGCAAATTTTGTTACTGGTAGCGCAAAATATTGTCAGAGCATATTTTTAGCCCTTCCGGGACCCAAAATGCAATAATGAATCAAAGAAAATAATTTCGAAAAATACGAGATTTACAACAAATGCTTACCGGCCGTTGAAAACATCACCGATCGCAACTGGATGATAGCCACCCTTGCGATAATCCTTTGGATCTTCCTGTTCTTCGTCATCGCTTCCCAGCACTTCTTCCTAAAAATTATTATAGAAGTAGTCCAGACCAATATCGCTCTGTTCGGCCAAAGTTCTTCGGCTTGTCGAGCAAGAAATTTTTAACCACTAATGTCAACACGACGAACAGCTCAAAAACAGTGGTTAAACGTTCTGAAAGTGTGCGTTTTTCCAGGAGCATCTTGCCTTTGCTATCGTATCGCGCTATTTTTCACATTCTGCTTAACGAAGAAAAAGTAACTGCTAAAAGTGTCGAAGTAGCTGCCTCTGGCTAATTGGTAACGAACAAGCTACTACTCCTTTCCGCTCTCCCGTTCGTCCTAACAGAGTCATATTTATGAAGATGGTCAAGAAAATGCAGAAGGCCTGGAAATTTTACAATTTCTACATAGATCCCTTACTTATAGCACAGAACAAACCTGTTCATTCTCCATTTCATCATCACCATAAGCGCTTTCGCT